GAAAGCATCTTTTAGCCAGGAACCATGCGTTTCGCAATCGCTTTTCATTTAAGGCTGCCTCACAATTTAATGGAACCAATGTGAAGAGAATTGTAACCAGTGAGGATTGTTAAGGTCTACATCGAACCTCAAAAGTTAGAGTGTCCATGGCAAGGAATTATTAAGATTTAAAGGACTTGGTAGTTCTCTCCTCGAGTAATTAGTGGACTTGTAAGTCTTTGAAAGGAATGAACCATACAAAAGCAAATGATGCTAGTGTGATATCATCACATCACTTTTGGTAAGTCAAGCGACATCGAAAGTAAGGAAATGTTTACTTAACCTGTGAAGTACATGGCACAAATACATATTAGCTTAACTGAAACGACTTCCATTTGTTGTTTTCAGATATATTTGATTCAGTTGTATTTGATAAAATAATGTTGTTTGACAGTTAGGTAAAGCTGTTTTGTCATATATTTGATTCAGTTGTATTTGATAAATGTTGCCTCACAGTTATTGGGGCCTCTTATTAGGCAAGTAATTTGAACTTTTTTTTAGTACTGTTGCCTCACAGTTATAAGGACCTCTTTAGTTATCTACTTTGAAGGGGCCACTTTTGGCATCCAATTTGAATATTTTGCCACATATCGCCAGCCCTCTGGCGATTTTTGCCAAAATCGCCAGCCTCCAACGGGCCACTTTTGGCATCCAATTCAAATCACCAGAGGCTGGTGATTTTTCGCCAGTTTCGCCATTGCATGCATGGCGATTTTTGCCAAAATCGCCAAAATCGCCATTTTCGCCAAAATCGCCAGCCTGCAAGGGGCCCCTTTTGGCATCCAATTCAAATCGCCAGCGGCTGGCGATTTTTCGCCAGTTTCGCCATTTTCGCCATTGCATGCATTTCTGGACATCCAATTTGAATATTTTGCCACATATCGCCAGCCCTCTGGTGATTTTTGCCAAAATCGCCATTTTCGCCAAAATCGCCAGCCTCCAAGGGGCCACTTTTGGCATCCAGTTCAAATCGCCAGCGGCTGGCGATTTTTCGCCAGTTTCGCCATTTCTGCCATTGCATGCATTTCTGGACATAAGTGAATAGAATACGACTTTACTATATAGTAACAAAATGCAGGCTCCTTACTTTTGCGTCTTGTTTGGTTAGAAACTCGACAAATGCGAATCCTCTATGTGTTCCAGATCCCGACAGCTTTTGAGGAAGCCGAAGTGTTTTGATTTCTCCGAAAGTGCTGTGAAGAAAATAACAAAAAGAATAGAATTTTTTTATTATTGTCTGTCTTTGGGCCTACTTTTAAAACTACAATGCGAGGAGATTTTCAAAGCAAGTATATAGTACCCCAAGGAGGCACTCAAGGGAAGTTTGAGTAGAGCCGGTTCTGACGCCAAGGCCAAAATCTTGCTACCCTGATAAAGACAAGAGACCTAATTTCATCACCTTGATGCACTTCGTTTGGCTCACAGAGTTAAGTAATTTGTTAAACTAACGTCATGGAATTAGTTCTCTTAAATACATTGCTGGTACCAAGCATGTGGACTGCAACACTCTTTTGAAGGCTTTCGATCCAAAAGACACGCTGTTCATGTCGCTATGAAGTGAAAATTGTATACCCTGAAAACCACATCCTCTTAAACGGCAAATACCAATCGGGATACTACCACTTGTTGATTTGTTGCGAAGTGGGTATCGGAACCTCGAACAAAATGGTATCTTGTGGTAACAGGGGGAGAGAAGAGACATGATAAGCATTGCGCACTCTGAGGCGAGTTGCATAAAACGAAACGCCACAGGTAACTGTAAACGTCTGGCGTTGAAATAAAGAGCTTTATTGGGCTAAACGATGGACGTTAACAGTTCTCAGCAAAGTTTGAGTTTCGGATTTCTTTCCATGTATCCTCACAAGAATGATTCACTGCAGTTCTTTTTTTCCCCGAAGAACAACAGTATCTTTCAACGTTCACTCCGAGCGGGTGTTGCTGCTTATGATTGCTTTGGCGATCTCCGAACGACCCTCTTCGTTTTTCTTTCCTTAGGTTTACAGTTCATTCAATACCTTTGCATGCGGGTGTCCGCTTCGTGCGGTGGGCGGTGTTCGACCCCCCCCCCCCAAAACAATGTAGTAGGACAGTTTATGCTGTCATATATGAAGTAGATAATACTAGAAAACCGGTCTAAACTGCTCCGGGGAATAACACATGCGTAGCTTCTGTACCAGAATAGATTGGCCTGCTCGTAGTAATTAAAGTGTTGTGTTCTCAGTTTTACTGGTATCAATTCCTTCCACAAAAGTGGTGGAGAATCTTGCCTAGTCCCTGTACGGCGTTTTCCCAGTCCCTCTCGGTCAATTCGTTTCGGTGACGTATTCGAGGCGAACGGGCGGGAAAACGCCTAGACAAAAACAGAATGCGCATGCGTGCGTTACTTTTTGAAATTCCAAGATGACGTTGTGAGCAGCAAGCAAGCAGCCAGCAGGAGATTTTGGTTATTAACCACTCTTGTGGATATTTGTAGAATCGACTTTTGCCATCAGAATCTTATTCATAGTCCTATGAAGATTTATACTGCTCCTTCAATCTCATCATTCCAACTGAGCTATCGGAGTTTGCCCCTCGCAAATTTTCAAAGTAAACACAATATTGACCCGTGTGTTGTAAACTTAGACCTCAAATGTTGAATAATTAGAAAAACCATACTTTCAAATAAAATTCATTAGCTGCGTATCAAAAAGTGCCCAGAAACTAAATCTAAAGGTAGAAATCCTATAAAATTCGCCGACATTCACAGAAGTGATGCGTGTACTATAAATGTGAGAAGCATGAAATTCAACTTGCATGCGTAGTCTCAGGATCGTGTTTTGAGCAAATGTTAATCAATGAAAGAACACACAACAATAGACAGAGAAATTATTTCTCGAAAATTTTTATTCAAAGGCCCATAAATTAATCCTTAAAAGTAATTTGCGTGACACATATTTGGCTCGTGGATCCGTTCACGCTAGTAAAATCGGCTGAGCAAATGGCAAAAATTATTCAACACAAATCTCAAATCAGGGCGCTCAAGCCGATCTCAAAACGTATAAAATGTCTAAGATAAAATATTCACAAATGCGTAATTTTCTTGACTATAGAGTACAAAATGTACTTGACAATTCTTCAAAAACTTCGCTGCTTGGTGACGTTTCAAAACAAGCAAAGCGCTCCGATCGGCCGTGATAAAAAATTCCGTGTATTTTAAATTCCTCGAAGGACAAATTTATAAAGCCGGAAAAGCCTTCCTTTGTCAACTTGAAGAAAACTAAGGATTCTTTTGAAGACTCCTTTCCCATCTGTGTGTTTTAGCGATGTATTTTTAACTTTGCAATTCGAAGCACTGGTCTTGTTTACCATCTCCATTGAGCTGTCTCACTTTTGTCTCACTTTTGAGGATTTTTGTCTAGGCCTCACATTTTCGCATGGACCACGTGACCCAAAACGCTTTGGCCGCGAGGAAAAATGAGGCCTAGGGACTAGGGAAGTGGAGAATCCATTTCATGTTCAAATGCCTGCTACTATCGAAGAACTTAAAGGCGTCGTTGCCGGTCACAGCGAAGTTGTCAAAGGTTTAGTTAACACCGTCCAATAACAATCTGCCCTGCTGCAAGCTCACACTACAGCTTCAACATCCCAAGCGAACTCAGCCGATACTACTTCTCGTTCTAACAATCAACATCTATTGACCTTACGATTGCCGACCTTACAGTTACCAACCTTTCGCCAAGATAAAAACCGCACAAGATGATATTGCCGAATTTTTCGAGTGTTTCCAAGAGCAAACATCTCACCTTCCCGCCAAAATTCGCTTGTCGCTCCTGGAACAACAGGTCGTCGGTGAGTGGCCGCGTTCAGTGTTATCTTTCTGCCGTGGCTCGGAAGGGTTTTCTGATAAAACCGCCGAGGAACAGTTGAACTCTTTTATCTCAAGTTTACGGGATGAATTCCAGGAACCTCCGGACAAAAAATGTCGCCGATTGGCAGCTGAATTAAGTGCTATGAAACAAGATCCCTCTGAGAGCGTGGATGAATTTGTATTCAAATACAAGAACACTCTCCATCAGCTTGATAAACTATCTTGTCTCCCGTATGTTACTTCTCAGTTTATTTCCAAGTTACAATCGCATCTTACCCAATACCTCCTTTTGCAAGCTCATCAGGTGACACAACTTGATAAAGCTATCGAAGCTGCTCGTCGCATCGAACATTCATTCATCGCTGCCGCAAGTAATGGGTCTTCTTCGCCCTTAACAACTGATTCCTCGTCGCCATCTACAGTTTTTAATGGAGTCCCTCAACGAACCGCCTTGTTTTCATCTTCACGTCAATTTGGTAACAAAAAAAAAGCAAAGTTCGTGTTGGATTTGCGGAAATAATCAACACAAAGCTCATGAATGCCCACAACGGTCAGCAGCACCAAAAAGGAAATCGCCTGAGGTCTGCAGAAATTTTAATAAGTTCCTCTCAGGAACTTGTGAGCAATCTAATAACAAGTGTTCAGCTGGCCGGCTTCACAAATGTTCTGAATGTCAAAAATAGGGTTGTAAAGCTATTCGTCATACGGAACAGCGAATGCAGTCCTTAGCCACAGGCCTACCAATCTCAAACGAACCAGCTGCTGAGAAAACAACCACCGAAAATCAAGAAAATGTTGTGTTTGGCCTACCAGCTGTTACAAACACTGCCGGAAAACTCAAAGAACGTCACATCCCTTGGACACCTGTTGTCTCTGCTGGGGAGAAACTTTCACTACCTCTTGACATTTGTTGCTCAGTTTCTCTTGTCAGTCGCTCTCACGCGGATTATGTTGCTTCCAAATGTCCACACTTAAAGAACCAGTCACTTGAAACACCTGTTAGTTTCTGTTGCTGATGCAAATTCTTAGCTGAAGGCTGTTGGCACTATGGAAATTCCCATACAGTGGAGCAATAGTAGAGAAACAACCTTTCAGATGCTTGTAGTTCCACGTTTGTCCTGGCCTATCCTATTTGGAGAAAACCATTTGCACTCTACACAAGCCTTGGTGGATCATGGTGATCCCAGTATCCTCCTTCGTCATCCCAGCATGTCTTTCAAAATTGCCTGCTCCTTGACAGTCCAATCAGAGGTGGCTTACACCAAAGGGACAACACCCATGCTGGAGTTACTTGTTTGCTCACAGGAGCCCCATCACCTGGTATTCCTTTTACAAGCTCAAAACTAAACCGTGGACTTAACTTTGTTTCTGTTTGTCTCACCCTTGGTACATCATTGTTGGCTGTTTCACCGTCAGACTTGTGGGTTGATGGTCAGGAAATTCAGCCTGGTGTTAAAGTTCTAAGTGGTCCTTTTCACCTGTCTGCCATCACAGATCAGCACCGACCTGTTGCCTCTTGCCATGCATCACTCTGTATTCTCCCTCCAGATCCACTGGTACCTCTTGCTGCTCAGGATATTGTCTCGGACCTAGAACCTGCTTTTACCACAACTCTTGCAGTTGAAAGCAAACGGAAACAAGCTGACATTCCTCTTAACATTCTTCTTGGACATGTTAGACCATCATGCAATGCTGACTCTAAAGACTTTGAAGAGGCAGCTAAGAACACTGCTACCATTCTCGCAGATAGTTGGATGTGCTGGGTCAACGGACAGTCGCTATCATCAACTTCACCTCCTATCACAAACGCTACTCAGATTTCTTCAGCACAAACATGGAAAATTTCTGAACAGCACAGAGAATTAGCTGCAGCCGGACTTGATTCGTCAATCCTTTCACCCTTTAACGAGAAAATGTCTGAGTTTCATGAACATGAATTTGTACCTTCTGCGACCCTTCCACTGGATCCTAGTTCAGAGGAGTATTATCAGACTCTTCTTAAAGCTCTGGCTCTTGACTCGCCGAAGTATGCTCATGTTGATGCAGAAATCCTCCATACATTTAAGCAGATTATACGCAAATATCCTACGGTATTTCTCCTCCCTGGTTCTCCGTTGGGTCAGATACAAGGCTTTGAACACCACATTGACACTGAGGAAGCCTTGCCTGTGTACAAACATCCTTACCGGAAAAGTCCGGAAGAGTTACTTGCTATTAAGAATGAGTTACAGCGCATGCTTAAAATGAAAATTATCCAACCAAGTAAATCTGAATGGGGGGCACGTTGTATTCTTGTCCACAAACCACTGAAAAATGGCTTTCAACAACCACCACGCTTTGTTGTGGACCACAGAGGCCTAAAGAGTGTAACTCGGGGTGACGGCTACCCCATTCCCTCCATTGCAAGCATTCTTGATTCAGTTTCCCAAGGAAAAGTGTTTGGACACTGTGACCTTGCCAGTGGATATTGGCAAATTCCCCTACGCCAAAAGGATCGTCAGAAAAGTGCCTTCTGTACTCATGTTGGACTTTACGAATTCTTACGGCTACCATTCGGATTATAAACTGCACCTAACACTTTCCAGAGGATTCTCAATACTGTTTTTGCTGATTATTTACATAAATTGCTGACTGTCTATGTTGATGACATTATTATGTGGGCACAAACACAGCGTGAAGCTCTACATTCTTATGAATTGCTGTTTGAAAGAGCTGTAAACTTTGGCATCCAATTCAAGCCCTCAAAGTGTACCTTCTTTGCTAAAGAGATTCAAGTGTTAGGACACACTATCACTGAACATGGGAGAAAACCAAACTCGAAGGGAATTGAAGCCATCCTTAGCATGGAGCCGCCTTCTAATACAACCAGCCTTAAACGATTTCTGGGTCTCTGAAACTTATTCCGTGATTATATTCCAAACATGCCTACTCGTAACAAGTACTTGGGTGAACTCTTAAAAAAGGATACCCCCTTCTCTTAGTCAACACACCACTCCAGGGAATTCGAGGACTTAAAACATGCAGTTAGTGGTCCTGATGTTTTACTCTCTCATCCGGAGTGGACTTCTCCATTTGAACTTCATATTAATGCAAGCAAGCTAGGTTGTGGTGCTATGCTTGCGCAGTACAAAGACAACCAGCTCCGCCCTGTCAGATTTGCATCAAGAGCCTTCACTCCCGCTGAATCCCGCTGGCACACGTTGCAACAAGAACTGTTTGCTGTTAAGTGGGGTCTGGAACAATTCCATCCTTACATTCTTGGCCGTCGTGTCAAAGTCATTACAGACCACGCAAATTGGAAATGGCTTACCTCCTTGGCCCCACAGCAAGCTAAACTAGCACGGTGGTGCATGACAATGGCAGAATTTGATTTTTATATTGCACATCGTCCAGGAATCACGAACATTGTACCTGATACCTTAAGTCATCAGCCTGTCAGACTTACCTTCATTTGAGGAACCTTATGCTCCGGAAGATGGCGTGCACCCTTTTGTCCTACTTGCAGTCTCTATAGACATCCCCAATCATTGTCCCACACTGGTTTCTGATACGCTCATCGGCACTTTTGCTTACCTTCGCCGCATCTGCCTTGTAGCTCCTGTCAATGTTGATTCTGCACCTGATCCTGACTCGTCTGTAACAGCTCCAATTGATACCAAATCGGAGGACTATTTACTTGCGATTCGCAGATGCCCTGACTGCATCCGTTTGAAAACTGCTGAACAACATCACGGTCCCATGCAAGTTCGCCTTTACGAACATCCATTTCATACATTAGGCATAGACTATGTTGGTGAGCTCCCAGTTTCGCAAGTTTGGTAAAAAGTGGATCTTGACAGCTGGTGCCCTTACTCAAACTGTCTACGGGCTATACCTGTCTCTAACAAACGAGCTACCACCGCAGCACGCGCCCTGTATGATCATGTGTTCCTTGAATATGGCTTTCCTGCCGTACTCCAAAGTGAACAAGGTGGTGAATGGGTCAATTCTGTGCTCCAAGAACTCACCAATTTGCTATCTATAGAACACGTGTTTACCACAAGTTATCGCCCTCGCCTTAATGGTTCTACAGAAAGAGTCCACCGCTGGCTTAATTCCGCTTTAGGTATTTACTGTGAGAAAAATCAACAGCTATGGGAGGAATTCTTACAACCTGCCACTAAAGCCCACAATACCTCTCCAATTCCTGGAACAGATCAAGTAACTCCGTTCTTCCTGGTGTTTGGCAGACATCCCATTTCTCCAGAGGTACTTACCCTCGAATTGCCTCCCTCACCTCTTTCTCAAGCTTCATATGCTAAAGAACTTATCAAACGTTCCATTGAAGCCCGGAAACAATTTGACAAAATCAAAGCAGATCTTAAAGGAACTCAGCGAGAATACTATGACATGCATTCTAGAGATCCAAGCTCAACTGCAAAAGGGGCAGGAACTCGTTTTCTTAGGAAATATGATGGACCCTATCTTGTCACTGGCCATGTTCACGGTCGTGAAGATTTGCTACGTTTACGGAACCTTTCAAATGGTAAAGAAATCAGAGCAGTGAACATTGAAAAGATTGTGGTAGTTCCTGATTCTGATCCTCGTGCAGACATCAGTGATGATACTGAGCAAGAACAAACTAGGGGAACTGTAGCGTCTTCATTACCAAAAAGCACTGTAGCTTCGCCTGTAAATAGTAGTTCAGATTTAGCAAAGATCGCTTTTGCCTTTGCGAAATATCTCAGCTCATTGCCACAAGCCCAGTGTTGTGCTTCAGAGGCTTGTAAAGCGGTTTATAATAGCTTACCGGAAGCTAGAGACATTTTTAATCGACATGGCAAACTTAAAGGACTCGTCAGTCAGTGTCCCTACTTATCTTTACAAGGTGGACCACATGGAGGCACTTACCTCCTTGTTTTGAATGTAAAGCAATTCCGTGAACTTAAAAGTTAACTCCCCAAGAAGGGGTGTACTCGTGAGGGAACTTTCGTTATGTTTGTTTGCTACAAGTTTTCAAATTTTTTACCCAAGAAGGGGTGGAGTGTGATCAAACGTTGGAAGCCATTGTATTGTCAACCTCAACACTAAACACTTACCCAAACAGTTCTTTGAGTTCTTTTCTTGTTGCTTCGAAAGGTACATTTCGCACCAGTATTTTAGAACTGTTTTGTTTCGTTGCCGTGGCTGACTTACGTTGTGACACTTTATCGCTGAAAATGAAATAAAATAAGCAAAAGGGTTAGTATTTCAACAAATTTTTAACCTGGTCTAGTAAAGTTGTCAAATAAAAACAAAACGTTTCTGCTGCTCCAATCATGGACCTCCAACCAACATCCCTGACAGTAAGACTGTATGCTCTACCAACGGAGCTACCCAGGCATGATGCTCATAATCTTCTCTACTAGTTCCTGATTAACTTGAGTTGTGGAATGTCCTGGTCTGGATATGGTGACCTACAATACTCATGCCATAAGAGGACTGTTTTTTCGGTCCAGTCAACAATTACTAAATCTTTAGTGTAGGGCTGGTGCTTTAAGGAGTCCTTTCGCAATTGCTTGGTAGTAAACGACGGGGTTAATGAACGCATGTGAGACGGGCCCTTTTGACAGATGCGACACCATACTTAAAGCACAACAAGAACAAAACATGGATTTAAATAAAAAATTTCTTAGGTATGGCTCTACTTACGAGGATTTCCTGTGCGACATCTTGAGTTCGAGGGTGTGGCCATCAAGTGATGAGTTCTGGTAGAATATGTAAGGAAAGAAACCATGTTGACCACATTTACACACGTACAGTATTAGCAGTTATTACCAGACATACTGAGAAACAGTTATAGAATGAAGTTGGAAATTCATGTGAGGAGCCGTTTGAGCAAAATCTGTGTGAGCGCTTTTGAGATTTTCTTTGAATGAAATTTTTATGTTAAGAACTGGCCGATATTGATGTTCAGCCGCTACTGCGCTTTTGAAATGCAATTTCATCTCATAGTAGTTTTCAATCATTTTTTAAAACTTGTGTGAAAGATCATGAGGATATCTTTAGGCTATGTTCACACTATAACGAATAAATTCTTGTGTTAACACAAAACGCTATCCAGTAAAGTGTGAACACCTATCCGATATGTGGCTTTCGAGATTGGCGCGGCGCATATTCGCTCCGTAACAGAAATCGCGCAAAAATCACCGCTCTTATGTGTGAACAGAGGCCAGCCCTGTCCTGTATGATTTCCGCGCCAGCGCAAAAGCTATTCGTTATAGTGTGAACATGGCCTTATGCGATTGCTAGAAAGAAGGGACTACTTTGACTGCAGTTACAATTTGCATCTTTCTATTTCACGTTCAAACAGAGTCGGCATTGTTATTGCAAAACCGTGTCCGTCAAAAAAATTAAAACCCGAGAAATTCCAGAGAGAAATCAGAAATGACCCCTTGAGCAGCAATTATGCCCTTGCAATATCACTCAAAATGGAAAAACAAACCGCCAAATTCGCACAACTGTTACGTTCAATACTACAATTTTTTGTTCAAGGCCAAAAAAATTGAATAAGTTTATTATACCTTTTTTCACTCGTTTGTAAGATGTTATTACACGGTGTAAACTAACCAGCTTGCAGTCGAGGCTCGAACGAGTTAACCTCGTCAAATGCAAATATTTCTACTGTTGTTATACCCACACACCCCCTCCCCCCACCACCAATCCTCGACTCAAATACACTTTCTAAGAGTGACTACCGATAACATTAATATGGTCAAATGTCGGATTTCTAGAAAACTCAATCGAGCATATCACATATTTCATCACTGTTTAAAAAACGATTCCTTTTTAAGTTGGTTTGCATTGTTTCATGAGCATAAATCAAAGAAAATCGAAAATCGAATAAAAAGAATTAAACCTCTTCCCGTGTCTGCAATGAAGTGTGATTCAGATAGAGTTCTAGTTCACTTATTTGATAGCCATGAAGAGGTACTGACCTCGCTAAAGGCTATTTACTTGAAATTGTGTTACGAAACAAAAACAATGGGTCGAGCCCCGGGCAACCCAGTGTATATTCGGAAAAATTTTAAACCTGACTTGGCAAACTGTTCACGATTTTTGATATGTCTGTTTAAGCGTTGTACTCGTTCTAAGTTATTACGGCAATAGACATTTTCACATGATGTCGCTTACGTAGAAAAGGCAGCTATTTAAGACTGCAAAGAAATTACAAAGCCATCGAATGTCAAAGTTATGCTCTGCAGAATAGTCTTGACAAGTCAGGCAAAGACGATTATAGAGAAACAAGCCATGATCCTCCAACATACAAATGAAAATTTCCATTAAAGAATATATATATAATTCATGACAGAAACAATGTCAAGACCCCCATCTATCAACTTTGCTGTCGTCGATACAAATGTATAACGCCGGGCTAACGGTTTGTCGATTACAAACACGAATCCAAGGCCCGGCTCAAGGGGTCCTTGAAAGAGCATCTCGAGATAATAGGCGAAGGAAATAACTTTTTTTCGTTATCCCCTTTGGCCTACAAGCGAACATAATCAGTGAATATACAAAGCTGCGTTTAGTCCTCCCAGTTGTAAAATAGTGTAAGCCCTTTTTTCTCAGAATCTGGCAAAATTCGTTTAAATAAGACTACAACCTTAAGTTTGCTTTCTCGGTCTGAGGAATGCTAATTTCAGATTCCTTAAGGAAACGGTTCCAGAAAAGTGTGCACAACAATTGCAGAAAAGCCGGAGTCACAGAACTGAAACTAACAAAATTAATCACATCTTTCTTGTACTCTTTATTCAACTTAAACAACAAAAACGGACACTCACTCACTAAGACTAAGGGCTAAAACACACGACTATTGTAGTTCACTTCGGGTCCTTTTAATAAGTAGGGGAACCACACTTCCTTAAAACCTTTCATTCTACATCTTCATCGTACAATCAGTACTTATGCAGAAAGTGACATCTGAAAATTTAGCTTCAAGGCTCAAGGAACAATACCGAATGAAGACTTTGATCAAACAATTTAGCACAATCCAAGCTTTTGACACAAAGCTGATACGAACCTCTGTTTGGAATCGGATTTTTCAAGCTTTGTCCCTCGCCAAATAAAGGTCCTTCAATAAAGTCGTACCGCGCCAATTCGTCAAGAAACTTTCGAGAAGGCCTTTCAGGGGCACGGAACTGCTTGATTATCCTTTGCCATTCTGTCAGGTCACCTTGCAGATCCCGTCCTCTTATTCCAGCTTCCCGCAAATCAGCCCTTGGCACTCGAAATACGAGTACAGCGGAACAACGAGGTCTGTGACTCCTCCACTTTGCTCGTAGTGTATTTTCAAAGTCTTTCCCGAGATAAAAACCACAGCCACGACTAAAATCGGCTCTATTGGAAGCATCTCCTCTTCTCAGGATGATATTGTTTTCTATGATGTTTTTGGCGCTTTCGTGCGTCGTTCCATGAAAGAAAACTTCGTAGTCGTCATTTGACAGCGACATGGGAAAATTGCTGACGCCATGTTGCGATTCGTAACATTTAAATTTCTCGCCTTCGCTGTTAACGTTAATTACATTCAATTCTCCTCTTATATTCTTAAGACAAGGTGGAAAAAACCAAGCATTAATTTTTTCCTTGTTGTAAGGAAAAAGTTCACACTTTAAAAATGCAAAAGCAGTGGAGCTAACAGAACACAGGAACGACCAAAGATGGTAGCGTAGTGCAAAAAACAGCAAGTTCTCGATCCCAACCCGTGCTAACCATAACAGAGTTGCCAGTGGTCTCTCTACTATTGGTTGATCTGTATATCCTTTCCTTGGGCAAATAAGCCACAATTTGTTCTCCACGCTGAAGGTCAAATCAGCCATCACTACTTCACACGATATATACGCAACATTCTGTAATCATGACCTCCGCTCTTTAAAATCTTTCTACATAATTTTAATAATTTTCATAAAAGATTGGGAGATTCCAGAGGCGAAATGATTCTCATTGGCTGGTTGAATTGTTTCCATAGCAAAATGGAAATCAATACATCTTTGATTAGATCAGATTCTTTGAAAAAGGTGCTAGTATTAGAAAAGTCATCATAACCACAATCACCCATCCTGATCCTAATGGATGCAATAAGGGCTCGAAAAAAAGTCCCGTCCGGGACGAGTACATTTTTCTGTTGGGCAAGTAACTGTTAAAGCTTACTTGCTCAATGGGCAAGGGTTCGGGCAAGTCATCCTCTAAAAATATCATTAACTAAGACGAGCGAGAAATGGTCCCGGGCAAACAAAATATGAGAAGACATGCTGGAATTCAAGTTCTTTTCGCGCCCTGTGCAATGGTTCCCGTGTGGTTTTCAGAATTGTTCTATACACTAAAGCGGAAACCTTAAAACGGAAAATTAATGTTAATAAACTTGGGCTAGTTACTGTGTTACAAGGAAAAACACAAGCAGACGTGAGAGACCTGAGCCGCAACAACGATGGCAATAGCCCACAATCGATATGTAAAAACTTTTCATTGGCTCGCAATTCTCAGAGAGCATGGACTCTGGACTTTTATCACTAAGGAAGCCAAAACAAATACTGAAATATGATCAGAAAGCCTTTTTGATTGGCCGAATTTTTCTGACTCCTCGGTAATTGGTTGAGTTCCCCATTTTGTTGTCACCTGCTAAAATAAGACGCTCACGTATCAATGAAAGGGCGAATAACAAGGTGTTAGGGAAACATAATTAAAAATTAAAAACGGAATGATTCAGCAGATGTTCTGAAGACGAAGACCCCAAATCTTGACAATTTTTTTGGAAATCATATATTTGAAATGGCAACTCGTTCACTTCGCAGTCATCCATACACCAATATTCTTTCCCGGCTACTACTGAAATACTCGCCACACGAGTCTGGTAGGTTCAACGCACCTTTTTCGGAAAGCATCCTTTTGAAAGATGATTACGTTTTGGAAGACTTCCAAAACAAAGTTAAAGTAGCTGAGAAAGAGTCCAGCCAGCACTTTGAAGCTCGAGAAGGAACCAAGTCTAGTGTGAAGATGATCCTTCCCGAACTAGAGCTTAAAATAATGAATGACGAAGAAATCGGGTTTCACGACGATTTGGGGCGCTTTTATATCACTAGGAGCCTTGAACAACGTTCATTCGTGTTCAAAGTTATGCTTCGCCGAATCGACCTGACAAAAGAGAATGATAAGGAGAAACATAATAATTTCCAGGATCTCGAAAACGCAATCCACAACGCTCAAGAAGTCATTAAAAAACGTAAATACTTAATTCAAAAGGTAGGTTTTTACGAAGACAGTCATGAAGAAGTCTTGACCAAAGTTCGGGAAGAGAAAGAAAAGGCACAGTTTAAGATGAAGGAAGAGGATTACAATCTCCTTAAAAGCGACACAGCTCAACTTTGTGCTTTGCTTGGATTAAAACTCGACTTTCTCGACGGTTTTAACGAGATGTCACCAGAACACCGTCACCATCGAACAATGGCTGACTGGATCAAGATAACTCTGAAAGACAACGCCGTCAAGGTAAACGAAAACTCTCTCGGTAAAGCAATGCTTCAATCTATTGGTTTCGATCCCTTAAGCGCAGCCATCGAGACTATCATCGCTCGGTCGAAATTTCAAGGATCCATGGAACAGCACATAGAAGTGTACGAATGGGCACAGTTGTTCGTTGAGGACGAATTCAAATACAATCCTCTGCTGTCTCCCCTGACTCCCACGTTTCCTTTTAAATGCAGTCTAACGAATACGTGGTTTGATTTAACAAGTATACCTGACGAAGAAAGGGAGAGTAATATAAACTTTAACTGTGTCAGGATTATAAACCTTCCGACAAATCAATTCAATGCTTGTAGCAACGCTCAGGTTAAACTCAGTGAATTGTTACAACGAGACGATCAAAAGATCGTCCTGTACCATGGCACAGACCATGAAAGTGCGCGCCAAATTTTACTTCGGGGAATTTATTTATATGCTGGTCGACAAAGACGTGATTTTTCCTGCGGAAAGGGATTCTATTTAACGAACAGAATAGACTATGCTTGGAACTGGGCAAAAAGTTTATCAGCGAGGCCCGCAATTTTATCTTTTGTAGTCAGTCGTGAGTATATGGAAAACAAACCGCGCAAGCTGGATTTGAACGAAGATGAAGAAAAATGGAAGAAAATGGTGTCTTCATTCAGAAATGACAGGGTAACAGCAAAAATGCTGGAGGATTTAGACCAGTCATATGACTTGATTAGGGGACCCATCGCTAGAGTTACGAAAAGCGAAGTCTCTGACGAATTGGAGTGCAAGCCAAAACCTTCATTGTATCAGTTGTGTCTTATTTCAGACAAATTCGCAGAAGATTTTGAAAAGACTCTTCACTCGACAATCTTTTTCGATATCTTTTAAGCCTGACAGATTCTATTACTAAACAGCGAGGGTGATAGAAATTTTCAGACATTTGCGTTAAAT